AGTGATGTTTGTTCAGGCGTGTCGAGGTTGCCATTCGAACCCGGGTTTTAAACCAGTAGGTTTCCGTTCTCTTTTCTTTTAGTTTTCGTTCAGCGAATTCATCTTCCGCCCCTTTTCTTCTTTCTCTGATTGTGTTTGTGTTCTGATGGGTTGGTTTGAATTCGAACCCAGGTCTTTGTTTGTATTAGAGATAATTCATGTTCATTTTTGTTTGAAGTTCGTTAGTTTTTCATCAAGTGATTTAATGTCGAGTGTTTATGTGCTGGTCCTTAGTTTTTGATTTAGTTTGAATCATTCATCTTTGTTATGATGTTGTTTGATTTAGTTTGAGGTCAACTGATGATTGAGTTTAGTGGTTTGAATCTACTTGTTTGTCCTATTAAGTTTGTTGATATGAATCTGACCATGATAAACGGAATTGGGAGTTAGCTTCATGTGTTTAATTTGTCAATTGTCAGGCTTGATTTGGTTATAGCTGCTATAGTTTGGTTAATTGATTAGAGGAATTGGTTATAACTGATATGGTTTTGGTACAGGTTGAAAGGGGATGGGGCAGAATGGTAATTTCAGTAGTTTCAGGGGTAATATGGGAAATGAGCCTTAAAAAATGATTAATTTGAGTGCTCCGTCCACTAAGCACTAATAATATTAAAATAATACGTAGTGAGGGACAAGATATGATGGTGGGAATTAATACATTATTTAGTGCATAATGGGGGACAAGACATGTGGTAGTGGGAATTAATACATTATTTAATACATGGTGGGGGACAAGACATGTGGTAGTGGGCAATAATGCATTGTTTAATATAGTGGGGGATAAGACATGTGGTAGTGGGAACTAATACATTTGTTTAATATAGTGGGGAATAAGGCATGCAAGTGTGGGGAACAAAACATAATGGTATGAAAAGATTAAAAAGGGATTGATTAAAATATGTTGCTCATACCTGTTTTGGGTTATAAATAGAGTCACTTAGGACAGATTTAGGGGCGGAATTTTTGGAGAGAGTTTGGAGGCTGGTTTTTGGAGGAAGAAAATCGTTTCTCTTCCAATTTTTCTTAGAGTCTAGGCTGGATTTTTAACATTTAAAAGTTCAGTAATTTGAGAGTAAAAAACAGGCTGATTATTTCTGGGTTTTCACTGAGGTTTTAAGTGGTTGTTGAGTTTGTTACTTCTGGTCTGCGTTGGTTGGTGTGGGTGCTGTTTCATTGAGTATGCTGGAACCCTGTTGGTTTTCAAATCTGTCACTGAGTATTCTGTTTACTGGTTGTTGCTGGCTATTACTGTTGTTGACCGCTCCTTCATCTTCTTGTATTTCCGTTATCCAGGTACATGTTCTATAGCTCTCAAATTTAAAGGAAAGGAAGTAAAGAGTTGTTGGAATGGATTGCTGAAAATAACTGTTTCTTTGTGTTTAATTTGATGTATAAGCAGTAGTTCATTTGATATTTCATAGTATGTATTGGAATGATTTTGAAATGCATAAACTGGACTGATTGAATCTATTTCTACAAATATGGAATATCAATTGTAATTAATCTTAGTTTGTGATTACTAGTTATGAAATATAGTGTAGTTATTTCTTTCTTTTTTTCAGTAGTCGTGTAATAGTTTCAAATAGGTTATGCCACAAAACGGGTTCAAATAGTTCATGGAAATCAGCATGTTGGTTTAATAGGGTTAGTTCTGAAATTGCGAGTTCACTTGAGTAAGTAACATCACTTTAAATAGCAATGTGAATAACGTTAGTAACTAATATTCTCAAATGTTAATGATTGATGTTAGCCTGATGTCAATTTTTAAGCATTGACGCATGTCTTCGACAAGTCGTAAAAATCGTTAAAAAATGGTTTTGTATTACACATAGTTAATTCCAATAGTTCAATTCATCTAATAATGTTAGTTTAAATTAATCAAAGAATAGTTAGTTTGTTTTGATATTACTGGGTGTCAATCTCGTGTTCTATTCATAATCTCAACTTTGGTGTTATTAACTAATAGAATAAGGAACGATACAATCTCCCTTGAGCAAGCTCTGTTGCAATTTTCCGTTTGCATTTGTCTTGATATAATAATTAATAAGAGGCATGAGCTTATAAGCATTTAACTAAATAGGATCTTTTCTCTTTTATTTTAGAGACGAACTTAATAGAAAAATGTAGTCACTTTTAGGATTGTCCTTTTAAAATAAATGAGACGAGCCTCGACAAACAAAAATACACAAGCTGCAGGGCCCTCTATATGTGTTAGTAAAATTACTTAGACTTCGGGATGGGCCGTTTAGCTAAATTTCACGGCCTCGCCCAAAATAATGATATGCTAGTCGCTTTAGGCGCGCCTTTAATAATTTACTTTCTTAAACTCGGGTGCACATTTATGTGACCCAAATCCGAATCTCAACGGAGTCGAAATGTGTCGCTAATCACGGGTACATTGATTGTGACGTGGTTCGAGATGCATGTCCATGACGTTGCAAATTCCTTTTAAAAATAATGAATGAGACGAGCCTCGACAAACAAGAATACACAAACTGCGGGGCCCTCAACGGACAGTTATTTCAAATGCTTAGATTTCGAGACAGGTTGCGTAGCGAACTTTATGGCTTTTCTCAAAATAACAACGCGTTAGTATCTTTAGACGCGTATTTAATAATGTTATCTTCCTAAACTCGGGTGCACATTTATGTGACCCAAATCCAAATCTCAACGNAGTATCTTTAGACGCGTATTTAATAATGTTATCTTCCTAAACTCGGGTGCACATTTATGTGACCCAAATCCAAATCCCAACGAAGTTGGAACGTATCGAAAACTGCGGGTACATTTAGGTGGCGCAATTCGAGATGCATTCTCACGACGTTGCAATTCTTTGAATAAATAATAACAAAAGCGGTAAACAGTTGAATTTGCACGTAGGTTCATCATTGTATAAAATCAGATAATCAAGCCGAATATGACAGTTGAGCGACTGTGCTAGAACCACGGAACTCGGGAATGTCTAACACCTTCTCCCGGGTTAACAGAATTCCTTATCCGGATTTTTTAGTGCGCAGACTGTTAAACAGAGTCATTCTTTTCATCGATTCGGGATTCAACCGGTGACTTAGGACACCACAAATCTCCCAAGTGGCGACTCTGAATCTTTAAATAAAATCCTGTTTCGATTGTCCTTTAATTGGAAAAACTCCCTTTACATATACCTTTTTCCGGGGTGTGGGTGAAAAAGGAGGTGTGACAAAAGGTATTTAATATTATTTCCTTGTATAACTCGGTGACAGCTCTAGCAATTCTTTAACAAAAAATCAATTAGTAATTAGATACAAAATTCTAGAGAATGTTCCTTCAAAAGGAAAAAATATTTAGTACTATTTAGTTATACAATTCGGTGACACTTTATGCAATTCAAAAAATTCAATTATTAGTTAGATACAAAAGAATATCAATTAATAACTTTAATTAATGTTATACAAATAGAATCCAACAAATTAAAGAATTATTATTTCAACTTAAAATCAATGTGTAAGAAACAAAATTAAAACTTAATTGATTCTTTCTCAAAAAACGATACCTACCATAACTGAATTATACACAAATTTTAATTAAAGATACTTATAGTAATGTATATTTTACACAAATAATGTCAGATACAAAGCTTGTACTAAATAAAAAATTATTATTTCAACTTAAAATTAATGTGTAAGATACAAAACAAAAATTTAATTAATTTTTTCTCAAAAAAGGATACCGACCATAACTGAATTATATACAAAAAATTGATTAAACATGCCCATAGTAATGTATATTGTACCCAAATAAGGTCAGATACGAAGCTTGATCAATTAGCGGTGGATTTTCATTAATTATAAATATATAGATATAGATATAAATATAAATATGGATATATAGATTAGATTTGTCTAATATCTATTTAGATTATGGATAAAATTTATTAAACTACTTCCATCAATTATGTTTCTATTTATAATTTCTAATTATTAATGTTGTCTTCAAATTGCCAAGTGGTTTCTTTTAAGCTTGCCACTTGGCTTAACACATGCTTCACTACTCTCTTGTATAGATAGTATTTGTCTAAACTATCATTTAAAAATATTTCACTTAGTAGTTAGTACTACTTTACTAATTAACATAATCATAGATTTAAAAAAAAGTTACAAATTACCCTGCAACAAATTCAGTCTAACAAAACAACTACTCTAATAAATAAAAACCTGTAAAGAATATATTGGTGAATACAGCGACACTCACTAGTCAACAACAACAACACCAACAACGACCCAGTATAATTTCACAAGTGGGGTCTGGGGAGGATAATATGTATGCAGACCTTACCCCTACCCCGAAGGGTAGAGAGGCTGTTTCCAGGAGACCCTCGNCAGAATCGGAAAATTTTATTTTGTGTCTCATACAATTGACACTAGTTGTATGAGTTAACTTTTTTGTCTAACAGTTTTGTGGACCCAGAAGTATAAGATTAGGGTCAATAAATTTGTGAGACAAAAAGATATCTTGTACAATTAATATAAGTTGTCAGTGATTTGTCACTGCTGTCATCCCGTGAATGAATAACTTTTTAACGTGCAATTTCTACTGGCTTGCAAAAAGAGTTGTAGTAGTACTCCCATAATAAGTGTTTTTTGGTTGCTTTCATGTATTAAGAAATTCAACTTTTAATATCAATTAATAATGAAATTGATTATATTAATTTTTTTTTTTACATAAACTTTTCTAGCACATAATTTAATATTATTTAATCCAAGCACAATGTAGGAAAAAAATAATTAATTTATTCTTAAAATCTAAAAAAATTATTTATTTTGGACCACAAAAAAAATCAAAAAATAGCTTACTATGGACGGGAGGGAGTAACATTTAAGCATAAATATACTAATATTTAATCAGAAAAAAAAAAAAAGAGAGAGAGACAGTGAAAGAGAAGTAAGAAATATAATAGGATACCACGTCTATTTCGTAAACGCGCATCTTGCTTGATAAATACATATATACCAAATCTAAACCTCACTTTCCGCAAGATTCCAGATCTGTGACTGTGGACATTGCTTCGTCGAAGTTGCTCCAATGGCTGGCCGTTACAATGATAATCCTTTTGCTGAAGATGAAGTGAACCCTTTTGCGGTACATCACTTTGCTCTTCTTTAGTAGTACTACTATCTTTGGTGCTCCCTATTTTTGAAATTTTTAATTTCATACTCTGGAAAATAAATGGGGTTTGGATTAGTGGTTTTCTTGTTCTGAAAAAAAAAAGAGTTTTTGCAGAAAGTTAATTACGGGAGTATGAAGTTCTTGATCAAAAAAAGGGGTATGGAGTTTTTTTCTTTTTCTAAATTTCGTTGGTCCAGTTTCCAGATCTGTTAATTGGATTTTGATACTTGGTTCAATTTAAGCTAGCATAATTGTTCTTTTTTAGGATTCTGGAGCTACTTGAATTTCACTGAACGAGCTTGTAATAATTGAACTATTGTAGAATTGAGCTGTGACCTGGTTTTCAGCTGAGAATCATGCAACATAACAATGTATTGGTCGAATTTTTACATTAGGTGAATGCAATGGTTTCAGCAGTAGATTTGGAATTTGTGTCTGTAGAAGAGTAGTAGTAGTAGTAGTGACAGATTAGGAGAACAATATCAGTTTTTGAAGGAGAGGACTGAGAAGGAGGATCACAGTTCTCTTGCCTTTTCTACTTTGTAAAGTGTTCAAATGGTAGAGTTCTTAATGTGCTGCAGTGTCAGAAAGAACATCTTTGGATTAATAGTGTTTTCTGTAACATCTGTTGGATAATTGGTTGTTGACCTTGAAATTTATGAATGTCTTGCTCAGTGCTGATTCAATTTTGGCAGATAGAACTTAAATTTTGCCATTTGTATTTCACTCTTCCTGCAAAATGTTACGTGAATCGTGCTTCTTTTATTTTCCTTTTCAAAATTTTCAATTTGCTTCATAGGGTAATTTTATTTTTCTTGTTTTCGAACCAAGGTCCTCAAGGTAATGGTCGATAGAATTATGGAAGTGGTCCATTTTTAATGACCGTAATAAGATTACTTTCTTCAAAGTTTCCAAACGTTTTCTCGTTTGAAAGCAGAGTTACTGAAGATTTGGAAAATGCAATTGTTACGTTTTCTTGAATTCTATATAATCTTATATGTAATAAATGTGTAAAATTCCTGTAACCCCATGAAAATCCCAAATCCTTCTAAAAATGTGGAGCATAGGCTAAGGTATTTTCATAAATGGAGCCATCTCTCGAAAAAGAGAACTATATAAAAAGGAAGCAATTCCTGCAGACTCTGGATCATCCTAGTCAGCCAGTGGTAGCAATTTACACCATACAAATATCGGGATTTGATATTAATATTAATATTGAAATACCACCATTACGATAGGGTCCCCATCGAGTATCTTAATCCTAGCTCCTCAGGCCTTCTAGTGACCTGAGAATGCATTTAACAAGATGGTAGTGCATTTTGCAGTTGCAACTAGTGAATTGTCAGCACGACGAGGATGTAGTTTGTCTTCTGTGCGATATCGAAACAATTTTGTCTACCCACGGGAAGAATCCCAACTAGCGAAATGTACAACTAGGTCTGATCTTTATGCATCTGTATTTTTTGAACACCTTGTCCTCTTTCCATGACGTATTTATGGTCTGCAATGATATTGTGATTCTCAATCTAGTTTGTTTTATATTCTGAAATAATTGGAACAGAAGAGTTTCAATCCCGTTAAAGCTGAATCAAAATCCTTTTCCTCTCCTGTGTACATATTATGCAAGGCCTTGATCTTCATTGCTGAATAGTGAGAACATCCAATTGTATGTTCTTTTAGTCCTAGTAATTGTAAACAGTACCTCATTGTGTATTATGGAACTTAATACTTACTAAAATCTGCAGAATAATGGAAGTGTTGCCCCTGCTAGGCCTTCCCCTCTTCCTCATGAACCCGCTGGATATGACCGCGGCGCAACGGTTGATATTCCTCTCGATGGTTCAAAGGTGAAGCAGATTTTGTAAAATGAGCTCATACTTTGTAATTGCCTGTGATTACTGTAAATGTGTTCACTTGGTGCGTAGGTTTAAGTGATCCTTTCTTTTACTCATATAACTAATCAGGACCTGAAGAAGAAGGAGAAGGAACTCCAAGCTAAAGAGGCTGAACTGAAAAAAAGAGAACAGGTGGGTAGTTGCTCTACATTGCCTTGTAGTATATGTCTTGCTTGTCTTCCGGAATAGAAAGTACAATCTTTCGTCAAAGATCTTTTGTTATTCAATGGCTTGTCAGTTATGGAATTCCTGTAAGATTACTGGATATATACTACCAGATAATTACTGTTGTCTAGCTCTAGAATATTAGTGTTTTTTATTTGGTTCAAGGTGCTGTGGACTGTCTTTTGTCTTTTAGGCATTCTGTGAATAATTAATTTGACAAGTTTATTGGTTTCATGTAGGAACTTAAAAGGAAGGAGGATGCAATAACAAGAGGTAGTTTTCCACTGTATGCACATATATCTTTGAAGTCTTGAACTGAATCAGGGGTTTGAATCATGCTTTCCTCTCTGTGAACTGACTATGTTTCATATCTCTTTTATTCTTTTTTTCAGCTGGTGTAGTTATAGAGAATAAGAACTGGCCACCTTTCTTCCCCATCATTCATCATGATATCGCAAATGAAATTCCAATCCATCTACAGAAGTTGCAATATGTTGCATTCACTACATTATTGGGTATGTCCTCATGTCCTCTGTACAACTCCCTATTCTATGAATGCTATTAGTGCCTCTCACTTGACCTTTCTAGTAAGTATTCTTCAACCTTTTAGGTTAACCTGACCTGGAGATTGTGATGCATATTAATAGTTTTCACTACTTTCTCTTACTTTGCTGTCTATTTGCATAATTGCGTTTATGCTTCTAAGGATTGCAAAACATAAACTCCATCTTTTAAACAATTTTTGTGCTAATGGTTTTAGTGACACTTGGATCAAGAGGGTCTACAATATCCTCTAAGTGCCTGTAAATATCTCTGGAATTTGCGATAAGATTTAAAAGTCATACTGTTTTGGGTAACTGGTAGCTGGTTACATCTCAAATCTACCTGTCCAAATTGAGAAATCAGAAAATAGAGAATGAGGAATTCCTAGATGGTTTTTGTTGGAATAATCATGACAGTCATTGACTTCTTTTATTGTTGAACTGGACTAGTTTATCTAATTAATGCTCTTATGGTGGTTGACTGACTTAGGACATGGTGGATTGCAGGTTTGGCAGCCTGTCTTGTATGGAACCTTGTAGCTGTCACCTTAGCTTGGATCAGAGGACAAGGTTGCTGTGGAACTGAAATTACTAACCTCTCCTATCCTTTAATTGAATTAACCATCTAAAGTTAGCATTTTGTCACTGTAGGTCCAACGATCTGGTTGCTTGCTGTTATCTACTTAATAGCAGGTGTCCCAGGAGCCTATGTATTGTGGTATCGGCCTCTCTATCGTGCAATGAGGTACACATTTGTCCGTCCTTAGTGTGGGAAAATAGATGTGGGCTCCCCAATGGGAGGAAATAGATTTATGGAATATTATTTTTCTTTTTGTTTCCGTAGAGTGGCTTTACCTTCCGGAAGAATCTATATCTGATATCCATTTTGTTTGCAGGACTGACAGTGCGTTGAAGTTTGGGTGGTTTTTCTTAAGCTACGTGGTAAATACTTACATTTCCTTTTTAGTTTTTCTTTATACTCTTGAGTTGCTTATTGAGGATTCTGACTACTTATTTTCATCTTGTAGTTTCATATTGGATTCTGCATTGTTGCTGCTGTGGCACCTCCAATTTTCTTCAAGGGGAAATCTTTGACGTAAGTTGCTTTTTTATGTCAGAAAGGGGAATGGTTGCTGGTGCAACACGTTCCTTGGATATGAAATCGGTTGCATTACCTTCCTGTTCGAGAAGCCCATGTTTGCCTGAGCTCAAGCATTTGAATTACATCTGAATAATATGATATATTCTAATTTAAAAAAATGACTCATTCTTTTTCCATTTCCTTGTTTAACAGTGGTATCTTGCCTGCAATTGATCTTTTGGGCTGGCATGCTTTGGTTGGGGTGAGCTTTTATATTTTTGTCTGAAAGGTTACTTTTAAAACCACTAGTTAGTTGTATATTTCATCTGAGTTCATATTCATGTTATTTTGGAAATGAACAATTCTCCAGTATTATCAGTATGCTCTTCTTGGCCCACTACTTGTGATAGAATTTGATGAGTAATTCTTTTGCCATCATTATTTTTGGTGAAAAATTTCACCTCTTAAGCGTGCTTTCTCGTTGCAGATATTCTACTTCATTGGAGCTGCATTCTTCTGTCTTGAAACACTAATCAGTATATGGGTTATACAGGTTTAGTTATCCACCTCTCTGTCATATTACTTTGTGATTTGTGTCTCATCTTCTGATTTGCTCTCCACGTTGTGCAGCAAGTCTACATGTATTTCCGGGGAAGTGGAAAAGCTGCAGAGATGAAGAAAGAGGCTGCAAGATCGACTATGATGGCAGCATTGTAACACCATTGTGGGGTGCGCGAACATGTGCAGTTTTGGGCTTCGGGTTCGTTAAATTCTTTGATTGCTTATTCCCTTACACCTTAACTGGATTCCTGAGTGTTTCTGAAGTACATAGTGGTAATCACAGTGCATTTGAACAAATATGATGTTAAAGAGTAATACTTACCCTTTCTGGGATTTTTCTTTACACTCTCATCTCATGGCCCTCTGGGAACAGCCTGACCTTATTTCTTTGAAAATCTTTGAAATGCTTGACGGTTTCCTATGCTATTTCTGTTATTCAATATGCAAACCTTTGCCAGCATCACAATTTTACAATTCAATCTAAAGCAATTACTTGTACCACTAGATTAACAAGAAAAGAAGTATTTACAGGTCTCTATCAGTGTCAAGAAGTTGATTTTCAACGACTATCACACAGATTAAGAAAGAAATGTAAATAACAATTAGCAGGATGAAATTTTAAAAATGGAAATTACAGAGACATTTAGGGTGTGTTTAGCAAGAATTGAAAATGCTTTTTTTTTATTGTTCTTTTCTATTTCTATTTTATGGTGTTATTGTTCTTTTTCTTTCCTTTTCTCCCCCCTCTGAGCAATCAACATTCTTACTTTTATCTCCCTTTCATCCTCATTCCCTTTGTCATTCTTCTTACTTTCCGTTCCTTTTTATCCTACCATTTTTCACAGAGGAAAAAAAAACTACCAAGAAATTTATATTAAACTTAAAATTTTAAAAGACCAGGTAATGTATATTAAATTTCAATTTTAATTTTCAAAGACCGGGTAAATGATGTAACTATTCAATATGTTCAGTTAGTTATGTTATTGACAAACAAAAGGTAATAAACTGTAGAAAAAACTTTAGTAAAATATATGAAGTGGTTGAATATTTTACTGATTGTTAAGACGCTTAAGCAATTGAATAAAGGGAAACTTGCACAAATGTCCCAAATAAGTCTCAACATACCAACCTCTAGCCATTAGTCATAGACTTATCAAAACTAGTCAAGCACATATAAAAATTAAAAAAACAAATAAATAAAGTTCTTTCTCTCAAAAAATCACATGCAAAAATTACCTCCATATTTTTAAGCGTGATTAGCAACAGTAATGCAAGACGGAAAGGAAATTTCATGGATGAGGTAGCAAATAAGGTGATAAAATATATCAAAAAAAATAATATTCCAGAAATCTAAGCAAAAAAGGAATTTTTCAATGGGTATAGCTGAAATTCATTGAAAATATATAGATAAGTCAATATACAAAATTTGAGGAAGATTGGAGGTGATTTGGAATGGTTTTGTACCAAAATTCGTAATTAAATTGAGTTCTTCTGCGACACATGTATTAAACATGTATCATGCATGTATCTCACAGACAGATATACATGGATATATATGTGATACACAATTGATACAACTATGATACATGTGTGATACATAGTGTGATACACATATTTTTTTTTCATGTTCAATTTTACTTCGAATTTTCAATTCAAACCACCTCAAAACTTCACCAAATCATCCCAAAACTAAGATTCAAACTCCTTAAGATGTACTCAATCTATTCTAATAACACCCACTCAAAAGAAAGCAAAAAATTTACATTTTTTTGCTACAAATAGTTAATTGGCTAATATTAATAATATTTGGCTAATATTAGTAATATTTTATAAATTGATCAATTTTTGTAATGAACTACTTATAAATGGACATATCTGGTAGTTTCCCTTGAATAAAATGTGTTATCTACTCTAGTCATACCCCAAGTCACATAATGAGAACACTTTTAGTAAGGGAAAATTATATTGTATAGCTGCTACCAAAATAATAGCCAAAAATATATAGTATTCGTATATATACATTTTGTATGTTATATACAAGAAATATATAAGTTTTATACATTTTTTCGTTTACCAAATATAAATAGTTTCTAGTGCATACTAAAAGTTCAAAAAGCCCTTTTAGTAATAGGTGGGGAAAAAAGGCTTATACTTGGGTTTAATTGCCATGAAACTATTGGATAACAAGTAACTAGACCGGTAATGGAATAAATAAGGATTAGTTACCTCCTATAGCAAAGGTTGATACCTTATTTATTTTAAATAAATACCATTTTAAAAAATTATATTCTATAACTACCTTTTGGTTTTTATAGCCAAATACCTATTTATGGTCACCTCCTACTCTTAAGCCATAAAATACGTTGCCCTCTCTCATAAAATGCGCTGCCTCTCTGGCTTGACCCTAATGAAGGCAATGAAATCTCCATGGCCAACTCCAGTATGTTTCTTCTTCTTCTTCTTCCTTTCCGATTTTGGTTGCTTTCTTCTACCAATATGTTTATTCTTCTTCTTCCTTTCCATGACAAGGAATTTTGTGGGACTTTAACTTCTTGGCAATTTCTTCTTCAGTGGGTGCTAGCAATTTCTTCCGATTCGTTACTATCGGTGCTAGCCAAATTCAGTTATAGGACTTTAACTTCTTCAGGTGCGTTACGGATGCTAGCAATTTCTTCTTCAGCGATCTTTCTCGTTTTCTTCTTCTTTCTCTCATCGCTACTTATGGAATCATAGTCGGAATCCGATGGGTCGTCGGAAAATCGTCGACTAAAACAGGCCGTCTAAAGTTTGGGGTTGAGCAATTTGAAGATTCTGTTACCTTTTTTTAAGAGCATTTCAATGTATCTCGCTGTATTTCTATGTATTTCATTGTATTCACTATCTTTTTTTCATTGTAATTCAATGTATCTCGTTGTATTCCATGTATTTCATTGTATTCAGTGTCTTTTTTTCTCATTGTATTTTAATGTATCCCGTTATATTCTATGTATTTCATTGTATTCACTGTCTCGCTATATGCCATGAATGTATTCATATGTTTTTTTTAATTAATATAATTTATATATTCATATGTATAATATAATTTCTCTGAAGATTGCTATGTTTTTGGGATATTTTTCGGTTGAGAATCTTTTTTATAACTGAAAAATACAAAATTTGTGTGTTATAATTGAGTTTGTTGAGTTATATTAGGAGTCTATTATGTTAATTGATTCACTTTCCGTTTTAAAAACAGCGTAATCCCATATTTCACGCCGTGAATGCAGTCGAATACAGTTGAATATAATAATTTGTTCAGCTGTAATCCCATGTTTCACTCCATGAATACAGTCCAATACACTCGAATACAACAACTAATTAACTGGACTTCCCTGATTCACGCCTATTTTTGCTACTGTATTCATGAATACAATAGCTTAAATACATCAAATACATCTTATAACCACATAAAAAATATCTATAATCCATAATATAGCAAATGGTATCTATAGATGACTAGTTACTAGAAAAGATAGTGCTTTATGAAATTTTTTCAATAAATAAGGGACCTCTAAAATTATAAAGCACAATCAACAAAGGATAATGGGATTAAGAAAAAGGTGTCTTGTCTAATTGGTGAAATATGAGAAATGTCTAAACATAAAACAAACAGATGATTTTTATGGAAACCCACGTTAAGTTGTAACGGAAATATCACATTAATTTAATTATTATGGTGTATTAGATGATTTTGAAGAATGGGATGATGATGTCCATCTCATTGAAGAAGTATTAGGCATGTGCCTAATAAGAGTTTTCTTTGGTTTGGTAGCCAACCTTGTTGACTTGGTTTGGTTGGTAGCCAACCTTGTTGAATTAGTTTGGTTTGGTAGCCAACCTTGTTGAATTTCTTTGGTTTGGTAGCCAACTTTGTTGAATTGTGAAAAGTGTGTGTAAATTGTCAAATATTGTAGGCTTTAGAGGGTGAAGCTTTGGCTATAAAAGGAGAGCTTCAACTCTCATTTCT